GTGTGTGTGTGTGTGTGTGTGCGCATGCTTGTGTATACCTCCACTTCCCCTGCCTTGTTGAAGCCCCTGTCTCTGCCTGCCCACCAGAATACACCCATGGACCAGCCAGCCTTCTGGGCTGGGGTTGTCTGCCTGAACCCAGTACTGTGTGCTTGGCTGCCATCATAGCCAAGCCCACATGTTCACCCCAATCTTCATGCCCCCTGTGATGGCTTGATGGGTACTTCAGGGAATGCTGCCCTTAAGGCAGAAGTGAGGTTTGGGGTTTTAGTGGGTCATCTGGTGCCAGGCTGCATCCAATAAACCAGGGCATGGGGAGGTAAGTGCCAGGGTTAGGTGGGGTGCCCCTGATGGAGCTCTGGATCAGGTAGGGGACAGAGCTGTGTCTCTTAGTGCAACAGTAAGCAGAGCTCTCAGCTTCAGCAAGGGCTCACTATGGTTGTGGTGAAGCAGTGTGCCTTGATGGTATCAGGCACTCAAAGAGGGAGCTCTCTGCCTCAGTGTCTGGAAGTGAGGGCTGGGGACCACCAGACTGACACTGGGGCTGCCTCAAATGTCCTTATGCAGCATATCAGAACAGGTATCTCACCTGTCTGAGGAGGGAGATGCCCATTGTCTGGGGAAAGTAGCACATACATTCAGGGTTCAAAATATGGGTGGGTTTGGGGTGGGCTGAACCCCCCATAAGAAACAAGAGCCTCTGGCCTGCCCTGTGCCTTTCTAAGCCCTCTCTAAGTACCTGATGCCATCAGGGCACACTGCTCCACCACAGCCTGCTTTCTGACCTACCTGCCAGCCTTGTGCAGCTGTGTTTCCTTTGGAGGCTTCTGTGCTTGAGGCAAGAACAACGCTGCAATTTTCAGCCTTGCCCCACAATAAGTTTTCAGGAAACTATTGCATCTGCTTCTTGAAGACCTGCTCCTGCTCCACATATGGGGGTACAATCCCTTCCTGCACTGGAAGCCACCCAACTATAACCCTCTTTTTATGACCCCTAGAAAGACCACCTCTGTGGGTCTTGCTCTCCTGGGTGACATGGAGGCATTGCCCCCACCCATTTTCCTTGTGGACACAAAGATACATAGCCAGGTCTGGACACCAAGACTCTCACACCTAGACACCTAAAGGAAAAACAACAGAACAGCACCAAAAATCATAGTTGTCTAGATACGGCACTCCTAGATACCCAGACTAAATAATAGAAAACCACCCTAGATATCTAGACCAAGTACAGATATTACACTTTACCAATATAAGTGATTGAAAACTGGTCTATACCTGTAACAGAACTGGTGCACAAAGCCAGTCTATTCCCATAACAGAACAGAAGTACAGCACACAGACTGGTTTAAAAATGGTGAAACGCAGTCTAAGATTTGCCCCCCACCACCTAAGGGCAAATGTGTGCAGGGTCCAAATTAGACGCTGACTCTTGGAGGGAGGGAAGTGGGATCTGTGGTGGAAGCAGCCAGAAGTTGGAAGGAGCTGCCACTACCTGAGCTACTTAGAAAGGCGTGGGGGGAGCTAGGGACTCTTAGGGGGGGAAGGGCTCTCAACTCTTATGAGGGGGCTCAGCCCCCCATTCCCCGATATTTCAAACCGGAATGTGTGTTCTGTTCACTACTTATCTAAACTACGCCACTTACAGAAAACTGCATAACTTTGATTCTTTGATTATAGTCAACTAAATAAGGACCTTGGTGGCTGCTGCATATTAGGGCTAGGTACAGACATTCAAAAAGCCCAAGGTGGAATCGATCTATTTCACTTCTGTGTATGTGTAGGTTCCCTATATGTTCAATGGTGTTGTAAGGTTGGTGTGTTGTTGTAGCTGTGATGGTCCAGGAATTGTATGAGAGGCAAATGCCAAAAGCTTGTCCATCAGCTCTCACAGCTATACTGTCCAATAAGAGAGATCACTAAAAAATCCTTGCCTGTCATGTATCAATGGGCATATGCATTCAGCTCATGCATCCCCAGAACAAATCCTACTTTACCCAGCAGAGGTACACAGCTTCTGCCAAGGCACATTCTGCTGAGCCAAATATTATCTCCTTCTGACTGTTTAAGGCATATTTGTCTTAGCAGGGCTTTTTTGTCTTGGTAGCTAGATATCTTCATGGGTAACTTAAGAATCCTCCTCCTCAGTAAATGAGCTAGTGACTGCCCACTTGCCCAGGACATAGCAAACCTGGGTTTTATGCACCTCTCAGACTCCGGGGCCTCAACCCATAACTTCTGTGCCATGGGAGAGTGTCCTAACCCCCACAGACATGGCTGTGAGCACTTCATCTTGAACTTGGTCCACTGGACAAACATGTGCAAATGTCATAGGAACTGAAAGAAAAAAAATCTGACTCTGTGACCCAGGGAGGCAGACACTGTCCTGGCAGGGAGAGTAGTAGTTCTTGTTTCCAAAGTTGAAAAAAAAAACAGAATTAAAGCTAATTATTACCAGTGCTTGTAAAAGAAGTTTTAAAGATCATCAGCAAAGCTAACCACAATTTATCATTAATCAGCAGATGCATAACAAATAGAACTGAGGAAGTGATACTTCCCCTCTATGCGGTGTTCATAAGACTGCAGTTGGAGTAATGCATCCAGTTTTGGGCGCCATACTTCTAGAAGGATGTTGATGGGCTTGAGAGGGTCCAGAGGAGGGCCACTCATATGGTTAGGGGCTTACAGGACAAGCCCTATGAGCAGAGACTGAGGGACCTGGACCTCTTCAGCCTCCGCAAGAGAAGGCTGACAGGTGATCTTGTGGCTGCCTACAAATTCATTAGGGGGATGCAGCAAGGGATTGGAGATGCTCTGTTCACTAGGGAACCTCCTGGGGTAACAAGGAACAATGGTCACAAACTGACAGAGAGAAGATTTAGGCTAGACATCAGGAAAAACTTCTTCACAGTGAGGGTGGTCAGAATTTGGAATGGGCTTCCAAGGGAGGTGGTGCTCTCCCCTAATTTGGGGGTCTTTAAGGGATAGGCATCTTGCTCGGGTCACCTAACCCCATCACTCTTTCCTGCCTAGGCAGGGGATCAGACTGAATGATGGGGTGAAGAGCAGCCTGTTTATATTTGCAGATGACACCCAGATTTGGGGTGAGGTGGGCATGCTAGAAGGGAAGGACACATTACAGCAGGATCTGGACAGGTTA